TGCATCTGCTTTGCATCCTGTTTTAGATCATAAATAGTTAAAATGAGCTCCCAGCAATTCCCCCGACATGGGCTGCCTGCTTCCAGTGGGGGAGCACCTCAGATCCCAGCACCTGGAAACCTGGTGCCTGTCAATCAACCGTCAAGCGCTTCAGGTAACATTTAATCACACAAAAATGGCAGAGAAGATGTAAGTGTGTAGTTGATGTCTAATCAAGTTGTTTTTCCTCAGGTGGAGGTGGTGGAGATGCAGACAGCAGTCGGGATGGTGACCACGGTCAGCATGATCATCCACCTGCCGGTGGTGGGGGAACCTCAACTTTCAGAGATGAAAAGCAAGAGACCATGGTGGTCAGACCATACCCACAAGTACAGACGCAGCTCGGCCAGCCTCCAGCTGCCACCCAAAATGTGGCCATTCAGCCCGGCACACCTGCGACCTTACCGACCCCCTCTGTCCAGCTCCCACAGGGCCAGCCTGCAGTGCTTACTGAAAGCCAGATGAAGGTGACCTTTAAGTCTCTGTTTGAGTTTCTATAAACTTAACCATCTCCAAAGTAAAAGGAACATAATTTGCTCTCTTATATTGGCAAAGTTTTCTGAGTGTAGACAGTGTTCAACGTAACATTTTCCCCCCTGGTCTCAGTTTTTGCAATTCCTGAAAATAATAAGACGCCAATTTTCCTTATATTTTAAAAAGTATGTTATTGTAGACTAAGCTACCCAACAATAACTTAAAGTTAAAATTAGCTCTGAAGTACCAAAAGGTTCAGTAAAACTCTGATCTGTGGGGGGAAAATGTAATGCTGTAGACAGGAATCTCATCATAGGATATTTCTTTTTTTACTTGAGCTTGAACCTTTCACCTGGGCTGTCTGAATCTGATCATCTAGCTTGTATTATTTGTTAAAACAAACAGATGTTAATTTTTTTTAAATTGATGTCTTTTTCAGGCGGTCTTGAAGTCACCAATGCCAAGTCGTCTTATTGCTCCAGCACCAGCTTCCAACCAGGCTCATATGCCCATACCCCCCAAGGTGCCTGGTCACATAACAGTCACCATCGAGAGCAGCATCGCTACCACCCCGTCTATCCCTGTGGCAACCATCAGTGGTCAGCAGGTGAGTCTTTTCTACATTTGCTTTTAATGTTTGTCTTTTTCCTGCTGATAACTAAAGACCTGTACTACTTTCTTGGTGTTTAAGGGTCACTCAAGCAACGTGCACCTGATGCCGAACTTTCAGATCATCAGGACCCCTGCTGCAGTTCCTCAACAGTCCTTCCCACCACACTTGCCTCGAGGTATATAGCGAGGAAGACTCCTGTGGGAGTACCTTTAGTGCAGCTTTGGGAAACGAGTACTTGTAAATGATCTGTCAAAGAGAAAGTAAAAGTTAGATGCAAACTGATTTGGACAGTCATCTCCTAAATGTTGTCGACAGTATGTCAGGCTTGCATTTTGATGGATTGCTGTATTTTCTGTCCTGCAGGGGCTGCTGCAGCAGCTGTTATGTCCAGCTCCAAAACTGTCTTGCGGCCAGCCACTGGAGCAAGTGCAGGCACTGCCCAGCCGACAGTGCCACACATCATTCACCAGATTCAGGTGCCCTGCAGAACTTTAAAGAAATAAGAATATTCATGTTAGTTATGTAGAAGCACAGAGTACAAGGCTGCTGCTGTTTTTTGTTTTTCCATACTGTCCACAGTCCCGATCTCCTGCAACAACCTCTACAGCTGTCCTCCCAACCGTGGTGGCTCCCATCTCAGTGACTAGAACTCAATCTCCAGTTATCAGCCAGACAGTCTCACACTCTCCAGAGGTGATACATGGGTAAGAAAAGATAAAGTCTGAGATCGTTCAGTATGTTCTTAGCCA